CTTCTAACTTTCCTGTGCATGTAGGCATTGTGGTGCATCCACCGCCGCTTTACTGTGGAAAATTGCCAACCTTTTCCTCCGGAACCCGGGGGTCGACCCCCCTCCCCCCTCCGAAAAATCCCCCCCCCTCCTGCTGGAACCCCCCCCCCCCCCCCCCTTCCCCCCGCAAAACCCCCCCCCCCTCCCCTAACCCCTCCCCCCCCCCCCTCCCCCTCGAAAACCGGGGGGGGTCACTACTCGGTTCGAACCCTCCCCCCCCCCACCCTCCCGGAAAACCGGGGGGGGTCACTACCGTTGGACCCCCCCCCCCCCCCCCCCTACTCACCGCCAGCAAACGACTCCCGGTTCCCACCACCATCCGCATCCCGCATCACATCCCCCACTGGTGTTCCCAGCACCACTGTCCTCACCACCACTGTCCCCACTGGTTCCACCACCGCCCCTACTGTCCCCACCAGTGCCCCCACCACTGTCGCACTGTCCCCGCTGTCCCCAGAACTGTTCCCACCACGGTTCCACTCTCCCCACTGTCTCCACGGCCCCAACCACTGCCCGACTATCCCCACTGTCCCCACTATCCCACTGACTAACTGACTACTCCGCTGTCCCACTGAGCTGTCCCACTCTTCCCACCACTGTCCCCGCTGTCCCCACCACTGTCCCCACTGTACCTCTGTCCCATTGTCCCACCGCCGTCCTCGCCACCGCCTTCACCACTGTCCCCACCACCATTGTACCCTCCACTGTCCCACTGTTTCCCCCTCATTCCCATTGTCCCCACACCACTGTCCCCACCACCACCGTCACCACCACTGTCCACTGTCCCCCCCTGTTCCCACCATTGTCCCCACCACTGTCCCCACCACTACCGTCCCCACTACTGTCCCACTCCCCACTGTTCCCACCACTGTTCCCACCACGGTTCCACTCTCCCCCACTGTCTCCACGAACCCAACCACTGCCTATCCCCACTGTCCCCACTGTCCCACTGACTCCTCCGCTGTCCCACTGAGCTGTCCCACTGTTCCCACCACTGTCCCCACCACTGTCCCCACTGTACCTCTGTCCCATTGTCCCACCGCCGTCCTCGCCACCGCCTTTACCACTGTCCCCACCACCATTGTACACTCCACTATCCCACTGTTTCCACCTCATTCCCACTGTCCTCACCACCGCTGTCCCCACCACCACCGTCCCCACCACTGTCCACTGTCCCCCCTGTTCCCACCATTGCCCCCACCACTGTCCCCACCATTGCCGTCCCCACCACTGTCCCACTGTCCCACGCTCCCCACCACTGTCCTGCTGTCCCCTCGCCACTGTCCCCACCAACACCGTCCCCACCACTGTCCGCACCCCCACTCGGTTTTCGAGGGGGGGGGGGAGGGGGGGTTCGAACCGGTAGTGACCCCCCCCCTTTTCATGATGAACTGGGGGGGGGGGGAGGGGTTCGAACCGGTAGTGACCCCCCCCGGTTTTCCGGAGGGGGGGGGGGGGAGGGGTTCGAACCGGTAGTGACCCCCCCCGGTTTTCCGCCAGCAGCGGTAGAACCCGCTCTTTCAAAATCAGGAATCGGACATAATAATGAGAGTAGTAACGATATTACGAGTACATCAAAAAATCCATAACGATAATAAGAGGAGGAGGACAGGAAGGAGGAAGGATGGAGGATGGAGTCGGGATGATGCGGATGACGGAGGGAGGAGGAGGAGGAGGAGGAGGAAGAGGGAAGAACATCTCATTCTATCATCAGCGCTTACGTTGCGTGATGTTTGGCTGTCCGCAGCAGGTCCTCACCTACATGCTCCTTCTAACTTTCCTGTGCATGTAGGCATTGTGGTGCATTCCCGCGCTGCGGTGTTCGCGCAAGCTGTGGTGGACACAGGCGATGGTCTGCACAGGCGTTGCGGTGCGCGGCGAGCATTGTGTTGTACACAGGCGCTGTGTTGCACATGGTTGCTGCGGTGTACACATTCGCTGTGGTGTACAGAGGCGCCGTGGTGCTCGCAAGCACTGTGGTGTACACAGGCGCTGCGTTGCACACGGCTGTTGCGGTGTACGCAGGCGCTGTGGTGTAAACGCGCGCTGTGGTGCACGCGAGCACTGATGTACAAAGGCGCTGTGGTGCAGACCGCCACCTACATGCTGCTCCTACTTGGCCGCGGTCATCCCTAGGCATTCCTGGACGCCGCCGGCGCGGAATGGAACGTGACGTCATCTGGGGTGGGGTGGGGTGGGGGGCGGTGACGGCCGTTGCCCTGGAAAAAAAAATAGGCTCTAAGCAAGAGTTTCTGACCGTATGATGTGGGTTGCGTCGGCCACCCACTTGCGACGCGCGCTCGGAAATTACATAGTTTGTGCAAGTTCTGTGGCGGGCGTTTTTTTGTCATACCGCTTGGGTAGCGATCTATGAGAGTTGCAGCTGCTTCGCTGAGATAGTGACCTTTTGGGTTCAGGACGGGCTCTGGTTTTCGGGCCGTTGTTTTGCTCGTCGTGGTCTGGAAAGTCCCTGCGTTCCTGATTCAACGTCTTTGGGGCGAGACGACGACTGTAGTATAAGTTCCGTGGCGGGCCCCTTCTGGCCATACCGCGTTGGTAACGATCCACTTCAATATGGTTGTGCTACTTGTTCAGGTCGGATATGCGTCTTCAGCATAGGCACATGCCAGCATGTCCTTTGGCACCCCGCAAGGGGCGTCCCAGAGAAAAGAAGCTGGGAGTTCGGGGAGGCACACGCGGGTGCCAAAGCGGTCTGCGAGTTCAGTCCTTTCTAGTTCGTGGAAACCTGGGTCCGCTCCGCTGTTCCACTCGTGCAGGTGCACTTCGCCACTGTGTAGCCCGCCGTTGTTCCGATCGCGACGAGTCTCTTGTCGCTGCGGGCAAAAAAGTGTCCACCCCGCTCCTGTGCCCTGCGGCTGCGCCGTAGCTTCTGCCCTTGCTGCAGTCGGAGTTTGGCACGAGGCCTCGTCGGGTGCGCAGGGCCTCCCTGTGTCGTTGCCTTCTCCGCCGAGCCCAGCCTGGCCAGGTCTGCTCCAAGCCCTGTCCCGCAATTCTCCTACATTCGGTTCGCCTCCAGATGGCTGGATGCGGTCCTGGCCCGCCCTGGCTGATTGGCACGGGGGAGGGATTCAGCCCGGAGCGCGCGTGTGATCGCTTCGTTCGGCCTCGCGATCACAAGGATGGACCCGCAGGCCGTGTCTCTTTGGCATTTGTGTTTCTTGATCGCCGCCGTGCGTCCAGGTTTGTCGTCGGGGGCCCAGCGATCCATGGGACAGAGTGTGGTAACATAGAATTGAGAAGATGGATCAGCCCACGCGACTTGACCAGTTGATTGGTTTGTGGGTTTGGTTCTGGAGCAAGGTTGAGCGTTCGACGTGAGTCTCCCCCATGTGCTGTGATGCGTTTGCTTTGACGGTGCCTCGCCGCCGAGGCTGGAGTCCAGGTGCGACGTCGACGCCGGCGAGGTACGGCAAGGAACGGTGCTGCCTCCAGGACCACCTTGGGGAGAACGCGGGAGAGAGAGGGGGGAGCCTCGTGCCGGATGTTTGAACACCTGGCATTCCGCCGTAGACGAGCTAACGGCGATGTGGGTAACGGCGCTGCAGGTTTCGGCAGTGCGGGAACGCGTGGCTCGCGCTCTCCTACACTTCGCGGTGTCATGTTCGCTCGACCCATCCGCAGATTGGAGGTGCAGGGAAGCGTGGCTCGTGACTTCCTGCACTTTGCTTCCCAGCATCACCGTGAAGCCCGGCCTCGGTTCCTCGTGGCAGGTCCGAGGGTTGCCTCGGCGCGGCGGCGCCGCCGCCGCCGCGGGCACTCCCGCGGGAGCGCCCCCCCCCCCGAGGGTCCGTTTTCTGGGCCCCCGCGGGCCTGGCAGAACGCAGCCCCGCGTCGCGAACGCCCTCCCGAGGGATGGAGACGAGGGCTCCGAGCAAGGGAAGGTCCTCGACACGGAACGATGCAGGCGCCGTCGTCGGGCTGCGAAGTCTGCACGGATCCAGGTGCTCCCTGGCCAGGCCCGTCCTGAACCCCAGAGCTGTGTATGCGGCCCCCCTGGCCAAGCCAGGAGGGCGTGGCGTATACGCCGCCGCGGGGTTCGGGACGGGCCCGGTCAAGGAGCGGTGGATGTGCATAGCTTTCGTCGCCCCAGGGAAAGGAAGACCGTCAAGGTTTCAACGATTCTGGCGCTGTCGGGAACCAGGGCCAACGTCGTGACGGCAGGAGCCTGCTGTGCTCCGGCTCCCAGGGAACTAACGAGCGGCACAACCATGCACTTCTGCGGGTCTGGGCGGCCCAAGAAGTCTGGGCCGGCCTTCGGCAGTTCATGTTGTATGTTTGTCTTACAGCAAAGGGCCGACGCCGTCACGGCAGGAACCAGCCGTATCCCGTTTCAGTGTTCTGTCAGAGCCCCGCTTTCCCCAACATGTTTTTGTTTCTCGAGGTTTCAGGGTCGGCTTTGTCAGCCGTTCTCCCTTCGATGGTGAGGCATTGCAAATTCACACCCGTGAGTTTGTACCAAAGGGAGGGGCGCGGTCGAGAGGCACTGCGGCTGAACGCCTGGGGACACGCTCGGGAGTGGCCTTGTCTCTATTATAGATGGTCGCCTTAGAGATTATGTCTTTTTCGTTCCCCGTTTTTCTAGTCGAGGGCGCCGGCGCAGGGCCACCGAACTTCCGAGACGCAGTATGTATTTATATATATATATATATATATACAGACACATATTTATCCACTGCGTCTCGGATTTTCGGCGTCCCTTCCCTGCAAAGCCGATTCGCAGTTGATATGGATGAAATCTGGCCTCTATCGAGTCCTGATTTTCGTCCACATCCAATGCGTCTCGAGTTTTCGGCATTCCTCCCCCACACACCCAGGACGCCGTGGGCATGGATATAGCTATTGCCCTCATTGTTCCGTATCCTCCGTGTCGGACGTGCCGAGTGGAGGGCTCCCCTCTCCTCGTCCTCCTCTTTCCTCGTCTCCGTGGCCTCTTTCGGCCCAGGGCGCAGGAGAGGCTCTGCGCGCGCGTTGCGCAGGGCCTCCGCCGGGCGGCACATGCCCTGACGCCCCCCGATGTGCCCCGGCCGAGGCGGCGGCAGGACATGGACGTCCTAGCTCGAAGGAGGAACAACGGCGCAAGTGAGCCTGCGCTTCCGACCGCCCGCGCTGCTTTCTGGGGTCGGCGGCCGCGTCCCGCCTCCAGCGCCGCCCCTGGCGCGCTCCGCGCGCCGGGGAGGGAGGCCTGGCGCCGATCCGAGAAGTGTCCGCGGAGCTCCGAAGGTTTGTGCTCGTGCGCTTGCTTTTCTCCTTCTGCCAGCCACGGGCCTCCGCGGGGGGGTCGCCGGCCTCCGGGGGACCTACCGGGCGGCGAAGAGGTGGTGCCTGGAGAGGATCTACGTCGTCAAAGACCAGGGGGGCGCCGGCCGATCACCCCTCGCCGAGGCGGTCCGCTGCCGCCCTGGGGCCCGCGGATCGCTGCACACGCCCTCCTGGCTTGGCCACAAAGGCACGCATGATGGGCCAATCTTTGCACCACCGCTCCCATAGGTAGGCCAGGGGAGAAAGGAGGATGGGGAGGTCCTCCTCCTCCTCCTCCTCCTTCTCCTCCTCGTCCCCCCCCCCTCCTCCTCCTCCTCCTCTTTCTCCTCCTCCTCCTCCTCCTCCTCCTCCTCCTCCTCCTCCCTTTTCTACCCATGGTAGTGGTGGTGGAAAGTCGGCCCATCCATGTACATCGATCCTGGGCCCAGGAGCGTTAGGGTGCAACTCCAGGGAGGTTGCATTCACCATCGGCGGTGGCATATGCGTGGTCGACAACAGGCCCACCCTGCACTCGTCCCGCTGAATTCCGCACAATCCCGCTCACCCCGTTTTAGTGCTGGGCTTAATTTGGGCTGGCCAATCTGACTTACGCTGGGCGTTTTCGCCTGGTTTCGGGCCCTGGGACCATCACAGATCGATTTGGCTCAAAACATGCCGCAGAATGATGGGGTCTGGGGCCCCAGAAGTAATATTGCCGATGCTGCAAGTTTTTACGCAACGTCGGATCTCAGGGTCGATTGCCCTGTGATCGGGCCGCTTCATGGCCTTCAGCCGCTCTCACCCATCACCAACTATACGCCAGCCCACCTCGGTGCAGACCCTCGCGACCAATCCCCCACTCACTCGCTCTTCCCCTTGCGGTGTGTTTGGGAGGGCGGTGGGTGCCGCGGGGTGTTGGGGCGCAGAGTGGGCCGCCGCCGCGCAGACCTCCCAGCGGAGGGGCCTCCCACGGTGCACCGACCCCGTGCACAGCCCCGTGCGGCCAGGCCGGGCCGCCTGCGAGCCGATCCGGTGCGATATTCGATTCGCGGGCTGGGGGGAGGAGGAGGAGGAGGGGGAGGGGGAGGAGGAGGAGGAGGGGAGGAGTAGGAAGGAGGAGGGGAGGGAAGGGGAGGGAGGAAGGGGGGGAGGAGGAGGAGGAGGGGGAGGAGGAGGAGGCGGAGGAGGCACGGCGGGAGGGCTCGATGCGCTGGCACCGGCCGGGGCCCGCCGGCTCTGGCTGGGCGCGGCGCTGCGGCTCGGATTCGATCCGGGACGCTCCGCCGGCGGGGCGGTGCGAGCCGACCTCGCGGTGCGGTGCAGCGCAGGCCCGCGAAGTTCGGCGGCGAGCGAGGGGGGGGAGGTGACCCTGACCTTCCAGAGAGCTATTTTTTAGCACTGGAAACCTAAAATCCTAAAGAACGAGACGAAACAGCCTAAAACCAAGACGTAAAATAGCTCTGGGATAGGTTTTTACGTCGGGTGCTATTTTTTAGCCCTCCTGGAAGGTCAGGGGAGAAGGGGCGGGCCTTCTCGGAAGGCTCGGACGCCCCCCTGGCCTTCTGAGGAGTCTTCTGAGCCGATCCCCGAAGGCGCAGGAAGCTTCTCAGAAGGCGCGAGGGCTTCTGAGAAGCCCCGCCGCCTTCCGAGAAGGCCTTCTCCTTCTCATTTCCCCCCCCCCTCGCCCGCCGCCAAGACGTGGCCGGCCGACGCCCCCCTGGACAGAGCTCTGGTTCCACCACTACGACCGCACGGTCGCCCTGCTCTGCCACCGGCGGCGGCAGCTCTCGCAGCGCGGCGTGGCCACCTTCTACCACGAGTCCCCGCAGGCCGCCGCGGCCAGGCAGTTCCAGCCCGGCGGCGCCCCCCCAGGGGCGCGGCGCGGGGGGGGGGAGGGGGCTTCCCTCAGGAGGGGAAAAAACACACAGACACAATTAATCGTCGATTCCCCAGAAAGTATGGCAAAGTATGGGAAGTGGTGGGGAAGACAGAACCCCAGAACATATAAGAAAATATGGGGCATCTTTTTATTTGTGTGTATTTCTCTGTGCGCCCCTGGGCCCCTTCATTCCCCTCTGCCCTGACGTGCTCGCGCCGCGAGGGAAGCGAGAGCACGACGGGAAAAAGGGCCTCTCCGGCCGCCCTCGCTCGGCCTCTGGGGGGGCCCCCTCGCCGGGGCCCCCCCCGTAGGGCCCTTCGAGCAACGCCTCGGGCATGAGAGGGGCCGGCCCGGGGAGGAGGAGGCCCCGGACGTACGACGCCCCGCGTTTTGCAGGACGGCGTCCCCGGAAGCCCAGGGCCCTCTCCCCGGGGCCGGCTCCTCATCCCGAGTCGTATCCCTGGGCGCTCCCGGGGCCCGGCGAGGGGCCCCCCATAGAGGCGGAAGATGTGGGAAAGCCTCCCGCCCTTTTTTTTTTTTTTTTTTTTTTTTTTTTTTTTTTTTTTTTTTTTTTTTTTTTTTTTTTTTTTTTTTTTTTTTTTTTTATATATATATATATATATATAAAAAAAAAAAACACGACGCGACCATGTCTGGGGCCGGGCCACTTCCAGGGGCCCCGTGCCGGGGACAAGGCAGGGCAGCAGCCGTCCTAAGAGAGCGGGCCCCTGCGAGGAGGCGGCGGGGGGCGCCTCTCCGAAGGCGGAGGGCCTCCCCTCGGAAGCCCGCCCGGCTCCCCTGCGGCCATCTCTCGAGGGAGGACAGACCACCCGGACCCGACAATTTACGTTCTCCTCCTCCTCTTCTTCCTCCTCCTCCTCCTCCTCCTCCTCTTCCTCCTCCTCCTCCCCCTCCTTCTCCCCTCCTCCTCCGCCTCCTCTTCCTCTTCCCCCCCCCTACGAAACGGCCCTGGGCGTTTGCTCGACAGCCCTGCCCTGCTCGATTCCTTCCTTGGGCGCGTTCACGACACGACTTCGCGCGTCGGGGGTGGTTGATAGGGGGGGGTGGATTTTTGGGTCTCTGTTGCGAAGGCCTTGCGGCCGGTGCCGCCGACCCTGAATGACGGCGGCGATGACGAGCGCTCTCGGGGGCCTCTTGGGGGTAGTTTGGCAGCCTCTTGGGAAGCTCTTGGGAGCCGCTTGGGAGCCTCGCGGGGGCCTCTTGGGGCTTGCTGGGGGGCTCCTGGGGGCCTCTTGGGGGGCTTCCGAGGGGCCTCTTGGGGGGCTTCCTGCGAGCTTCTCGGGCCGAGGGAGGCCGAAACGTTCGTTCGGGCCCCCTCTTGGGCGGCCTTGAGGCCCTCTTGGGTTGATTTTTGGACCTCTGTCCTCAGAAGCTAAGGAGGGGAAAAAACACACAGACACAATTAATCGTCGATTCCCCAGAGAATCGGGAAAATATGGGAAGTGGGGGGGAAGGCAAAACCCAGAAGATATGCGAAAATATGGGGAATCCTATTATTTGTGTGTATTTATTTGTGTGTCCCTGGGCCCCTTCAGAAGCCCTGGGGGCCTCCCCCCGGGAGGGGCCCCTGCCTCCCGAGAGAAGAGAGGCCCCCCCTCCGCCTGCGCACCGAGGGCCCGCCGCCCCCCCCCGCGCCCCCCCGCGCGGTGCCAGGCATCGCCGACGTCGTCGAGGCATCGCCGGTGCATCGCCGGTGCAGCGCCGATGCATCGCCGATGCGGCGCGATCCTCCGACCCCGTCTGCTCCGACCCCATCCAAGAGGCCTCTAATGTTGAGTCGGGCTTGTCCCTCTACAGGAGGAATATTCAAAAGTATTAAAAAAATAGCCTGTGGACGTCTTTTGTTGTTGTTGTTGTTGTTGTTGTTGTTGTTGTTGTTGTTGTTGTTGTTGTTGATGATGATTATTTTGGAGCATTTTGGGGCTGTTTTTGTGGTATTTTCAAATTTTTCGCCCAAAATCCTGTAGGGGACAGGCCCGACCTAACTCTAATGTCGACTCGGGCCGATCCTTTCTCGGTCCTCGCGCCCCTCGCGCCGCTCCCCGTGGTGGCCGCCGCCGGTCAGCCGCCGGTGTACGACTTCACGCAGATGCAGCACGGCGTCAGGTCCAGGGGCCTCTGACGCCTCCCGGCCTCGCGCCCCGCGAGGCGCGCGGCCGCCGGAGGTCTCGCCGGCCGCAGGGCATCGCAGCGGTGCGGAGCGGCTGGAGGCTCGGGCGCCTGAGTGGCCGCCCGCACCGCGCTCCCAGGGAGAAGTCGAGCGTGTCCCTCTACAGGGGGCATCTTCAAAAATAGTAAAAAAAAAAATAGGCCGGAGGCGATTTTTTGGCTTTCAGCTTTTGGGGGGGTATTTTCTTTGAGTATTTTTCATTGTCCGCCCAAAATCCCCCAGTAGGGGGACAGGCCCGACAGAATCCCAGGGCCCAGGGAGCCGCAGGCAGGGGCGTGGAAGGCACCGCTCGTGCCCCTCGTCCCGCGCGAGGAGGCAGCTGCGGGCGGAGGGGAGGCGCGCTCACGGGCAGCGTGAGGGGGGGGGGACGGGCTCGTGGGGGGAGGGGAGCACGGACCTGGACTCGGCGACATGGTCGGCCCGCACAGGACGGGGGAGCGGCTTTCCCACGGGTGCCCTTGCCTCCTGGCCTCCTCGGGCCCACCCCCCGCCACTTTCGTTGGCCGCGCCCCGCCCGCAAAGCTTCGACGTGGGCGTCCCCTTGCATCCTCACCGCGCGTCCTTCTGACGCGGGCCGACTGTACATCGCCGACGGCTCTATGTCGGGCTCTCTCCCTCCACAGGAGGAGTGTATTCGAGAAATGGCCAAGAGGAAACAGTCGGGGGACGACCTGTGGATCAGTCTTGACTCTGCTTCGAATCTTTTCTTGATCTATTTCTTTTTGAGACCTTTTTCCTCCAAAGTCTGCCTGCAGGGGGGGGACGCCCGACCCAGACCCCCGACGTAATGATTTTTTCATTACGTCGACCCCCAGAGGTCCCGACCCTTTCCCCATGACCGGCTTTGCATCCTGAGTCGTTTTTTGACGCTCCCGAGGCCCGGTGAGGGCCCCCAGAGGCCGAAAAGTAGGAAAAACCTTCCGTCATGATTTTTTCATTACTCGAGGGGGTCTGGGGACCCGACGAGGGGTCGGCGCTGGGCTCTCCCGACCGCGCCCCCGCGCGCCAACCGGGCGGGGGTCGGGCTGCCGGCTCCCCCCCCCCCCCATCGGGCGAGGCGCGGGGCCCGCCCTCGCGCCCGACGCGTGCCGTCGTATCGCTCTCCAAGGCTCGGTGTAGGCGGCCGCTGGGGGGCCTCGAGGGCCAGGCGGTCGTCACGGAGGGGGCGCGTCACGGGAAGGGGGTCGGTCAGGCGCCCGACTTGTGCGACAGCGCCCCCCCCCCCGTCCATTGGCCGCTCGCAGGCAGGCGTGCGTCAGGCCCTCCTTGGCCCCGCGCCTCGGATCAGAGGACTCAAGTGGTACAAGGATGCCGCCGATTCCCGGTCCCTCGCCCCCCCCCCTGGCTGGGTCTGCTTGGGAAGCCGGGTCAGACCGCACCCAGGGCAAGACCCACGGGAGTACAGCCCGGACGCTGCAGTGAGAGCCAGCCTGGGCTCTGGAGGGGCTCTGGTTTTCGGGCCGTTCCTCGGGTCTTGGTCGGGGAGCCTATTCGGGGCCGGGGTTCGCCGCGCCCCTTCGTTCCCCTGGCCGCGTTCCCCATGGCAGCACGATGCCCGTGTCGATACCGGGACCTTTGCGTGCCCCGATCCTGCTCACTCCTGCGTCGCTTCCAGGTTTTGTGCGATCCCTGTGCAGAAGCGTCCTGCCCAGTGTACAGGGAGCGGGCGCTCCATCAGCCTTCCGAGCTCCGTGCGGCCCGCAGCCTTTCAAAAACCACGACAGGGCGGAGGTGCGTGTTCTCGGTGCGAGAAAAGTGCAGTCTGCAGACGGCGCGGGTGCTGGCCGAAGAGGGCGGGGGGGGAGCGGAGGGAGAGGCCACAAAGATGCCCCCGAGCAGCCTCCGATCGGCCTCCGATCGGCCCCCGCGGGCACCCGGGAGACCTCACTGTCCACGATCCAGGCACTCTGGCAGGACGGGCCGACGGCCACCACTCAGGAGGGGAAAAAACACACAGACACAATTAATCGTCGATTTCCAAGAAAATATGGGAAAATATGGGAAGTGGTGGGGAAGACAAAAACCCAGAAAATATAGGAAAATATGGGGAATCTGTTTATTTGTGTGTATTTATTTGTGTGTCCCAGTTTCCCTTCAACCACATCCCCCGAACAGCGCGTGCACTGAGGGGTTCTTCCCGGTCCTGCCCGAGTCATCGGACGGGCCCGCGGAGGATCCTCCAGGTGCGCCCGCCCTCTGGGCGCCCCGTGGGCGCCACCGTGCCTCGGGTGGGTCGCGGGCGGCGTGCCGATGTCGGCCACGACGTCGTCTTCTTCCTCGTCGAGGTGTTGGGCCCTCCTCCTCGTTCTCCTCCTCCTCCTCCTCCTCCCCTGCTTCCTCCTCCTCCTCCTACTGCTCTCCTCCTCCTTCCTCCTCCCTCCTTCCTCCTCCTCCTCCTCCTCCTCCTCCTCCTGTCCCTCCTCCTCCTCCTCCTCCTCCTCCTCCTCCTCCTCCTCCTCCTCCTCCTCCTCCTCCTCCTCCTCCTCCTCCTCCCCCCCCAGCCTCGCGCCTCGCGCCTCGCAGCGACGTGGGCTCCTTCGCGCCTCGCAGCGACGTGGGCCCGCACGAGGCCTCGCCGCGGTGCCCTCGCGGCTGGGCGCCCCGTGGGCGTCCCGCGGGTGCCCCGCTGCCCTGGGGGGGGGGGGGCTCCGCCGATGTCTCCGCTCAGGGGCCGCCCGTGGGCCCCCCCCCGTGCCCTGGGAGGAAGGAGGGGAGGAGTGGAGGGGGGTGGAGGAGGAGGGGTGGAGGAGGAGGAGGGGGAGGAGGAGGACGAGGAGGAGGAGGAGGAGGAGGAGGTGGATGGAGGAGGAGGAGGAGGAGTGTAGGAGAGGAAGGAGGAGGAGGGAGATATGAGGAGGAGGAGGAGGAGGAGGAGGGAGGAGGAGGAGGTGGAGAGGAGGGAGGAGGAGGAGGAGGAGGAGGTGGAGGAGGAGGGGAGGAGGAGGAGGAGGAGGAGGAGGAGGAGAAGGGTCGAAGAGAAGGAGGAGGAGGAGGTGGAGGAGGAGGAGGAGGAGGAGGAGATGGAGGAGGAGGAGGAGCAGGAGGAAGAGGAGGAGGAGGTCGCCTGGTGCCCGCCCGCGGGCGCCTCGTGGGCGTCCCGTGCCCCGGGGCGGGTGCGCCGAGGTCTCCGCCGGGGGTGGCCGCCCGTGGGCCTCTGCCGCGCGGGCGCCGCGTGCCCCCGGGGTGCGCAGCACGGTTTGCGCAGCGCAGGCTGGCGCCGCAAGGCCTGCGCCGCACGCCAGGCAGGCAGCATCGCAGAGAGCTGCACGGCACAGCTCACACCACATCTAGCCTACTCGACATGCTTCACACCACACAGCGCGCACGGGACGACTTGCGCACCGTCGTGGACACCACACGCTTACTCCGCACAGGTTCCACCTCCACAGTGCAAGGGCTGCTAGTTGGGGGTCCACGCTGTCTAGCATACACTTATTCTGGTCAATCTCGTTCAGCGCGGTTGAGCGTTAAGGTTGAGTGCGCCAGCACCAAATTCGGCTAGGGCGCAGTATATCGCAACGATACGAAGTATACTGCTGTTGCTGCATGCATTCCCAGGGCAGCATTCATGGCGATCCAGCGGGCCTGGTGATTCAGGACGCTAGAACAGGCGTCCTGAATACTTCGCGACCAGGGGGAGACGGGGGAGGAGGAGGAGGCGGAGGAGGAGGCGGAGGAGGAGGAGGAGGAGGAGGCGGAGGAGGTGGAGGCGGAGGCTTGGAGGCGGAGAAGGGGATGAGGAGATGGAGGAGGACAGATGAGGAGGAGCGAGGACATAATATCTTCGCGGAGGAGGAGAGGAGGGAGGAGGGAGGAGGAGGAGGTAGGAGGAGGAGGAGGAGGAGGTAGGAGGAGGAGGAGGAGGAGGAGGAGGAGGAGGAGGATTAGCACGGGCTGACAGTTGGGTTCAAGATTGGATTCTTCGTTCGCCGATCTCCTGGGGTATAGCTGTGCGACAGAGGGGGGTCCAAGTCATGACCCAAAACTGGAGAGGGTACGGATCCAACGGACCTGATAACGCCAGCAACAACGCAGGAGCCGAAAACACGCTCTCCTGCTGGCAGATTTCCTACTGGTCCGATTGCTGGTCCTCCTTCCCCTCCCTCCTCACCCTCAGCCCTGCTTAGTGATCCCTGGATCTGGGCTCCTAGGGGGCGGCATCCCGAAGGGAAGTGAACTTGCTGGGACAGAGGTCCACTAAGACGCGGGGGCCAACCCCGTTGTGCCTGCTTCCAAGAGCGGGGTGGAAAGACACGAAAGACAGACCTCTCGTACCCACCTGGAATGCGCCGGCCACCCCCGAAGCTCTCGGCGGAGCCGCTGTTGGAATTAAGGGTCAAAGATCTCGTAACCCCCAGGGACGCCAAACTCTGCTTAGACCAGGCTCGAGAAGGGCAAGCAGCGGCACCTTCGCTGGAGCCTAAATGCTCTGGCAGTGTTTGGGGACGGGCTGAACTGAAATTTGGGCGCGGTTGGTGGTCTGTTTCGTCCTGCGAACGCAATCCGAATATGGGTGGGCCCCCCGACCCCCCCCCTAAACTGCTTACTGGCTAACGCCAGTCGTGCAGCAGGCCTGGCTAACACCAGACATGCGGGAGCCCGCTTAATTAAGCCTTGTAGCAGACTGAGCCCCGTGGTTAACGTACAGGCCGGGGCCTGTGAACGAAGACGCGCCGCGGCCGAAAGCAACGCAAACAACCGCGTTCCGGTGAAAGCCTTTCCAGAGCCCGGCATCGGGACCCACGTGCCGGAGGAGGCCTCCCGGGAACTCCGCGTTCGGCGCCGTGCAGCGCCTGAGACCAACTGTTCCTGGACGCCTCCCCGGGAACATTTGGACGGCCAGCTCTATGGGCCACGAAAGGTTTGCGACATTTGGCCCAAGTGCGCGCTTGAGAAGAGGGGGCCCGTGCTCGACCAGGCCCTTTCGAGAAGCCTCTCGGGATTCAGGGACCTCCCAACGTTAGGATGTTTCCTGGTTGCCGCCCTTCCCGACCCTCATAGGGGAGTCAGTCCCTGGCTACCGCCGGTCGTGCAGCATTCCTGGCTGATGCCAGTCGTGCACCGGGAGCCGAATTATCAGACCCTCCAAACGCCCTGAACTGATTCCTGGCTAACGCCAGTCGTGCAGCAGTCCTGGTTGATGCCAGTCGTGCACCGGGAGCCGAATTTGCTAACGCCAGTCGTGCAGCAGGCCTGGCTACGAATATTGGCGACATAAAGGTTGATAGTTTTTGCGCGCGCGTGCGAGCGCTTGTGTGTTGCATGTGCCTGGCGTGTACTTATGTGCTTGCGTGTTTGCGCGGCGTGGCATGAGTGCTGGGTTGGTGCGTGCAGGGTCTCGGGTCTCGCGTCTGGGTTGCTCCATGCAGCGTTTTGGATCCTCGGAACAAATGCCACGTCCAGCCTTTGCTATGGTGTCGGGGGGCGCGCCCGTAGTTCTCACCGGCCTACGCCCTGCTCCTGGGGCCGCGGTGCCGGGTGTGGCCGCCAACCACACCGGCACGTCCATAGACCGCCGAGTCGGACGGGAGCAATCCTCCTGCGCCTGGGGTGCAGCGTTGTGCTGGTTTGGCGCCACCGTAGGCCCAAATGTGCCCAAGCAACCCGGCTGGGCCGCGGGCAACGTCCCTGGGGCGCTCGAGGGGGCTGGCGGCAGAGAACGCGTGGTTTTGGGTCGGCGCCCCGGGGGCGGCCAACCCCACGGCGGGGGGGCGTCTGGGTTCCCCTCGGCCCGGGCGACCCCTCTCGTCGCCCCGTGTGGCCTTGCGCGTGTTTGCGGTGTGGACCTGCCTCCCCGGCTGAGGGAGTCCTTTCTGCGACATTCGTTTTTTCACACCGCTTTGGGTCGGCTCGAAACCCGCGTGGGGCGGGAGGGCACGGCTCGCTGCCATGTGTGTGTGGGGGCGGTTCGGATTCCTAGGAGTCCCCGCCGTACGTCCGGTAGCGTGAGGCCGGCTGCCGCCTGATCACCGGGAGCCGGCGTACCCGGTCTACGGGCTTGGCTTCGGGCCCCGCGGATCCTACGGTGTCTCTCCTTGTTGTCGCGCGGGTGCCACGAGCACCCAGCTGGGGCTCTCGACCCTTTCCGTGTCTTGGGCTGTCCGAGGCTGGGGGGTGGGGGGAGGGCCGGGAGGGGAGGCGGGGGAGCACGTGTGCCGCCGTCCGTCCGCTGGGTTCGCCTGTCAGCTGGGTCGTCGTCGCCCGTCCGCGGGTCTCCCATTTGCGCCGGGAGGCGGCCTTGTACCGTCTCCTAGGGGAGGGGGGCCTTGAACCCCTGGCGACGAGGGGCCTTGAACCCCTGTCCTGGCTGACGGGCGAGCCAGTCGGAACGAGAGGCCGAGGTTGTGGGCACTACATGTCACGATATTCGCACGCGGAGGGGTGCGCGTACGGGGACGTTGTGCGAGGGCGCAGGACGTGCTGTGCGTATCTGTTGTGTGTGTGTGTGTGTGTGTGTGTGTGTGTGTGTGGGCGCGTGTGTGCACAGGGCGTGCTGTGCGCCCCAGTCGCCGTGCTCCTCGGACTTAAGCGTGCCAATATTCGATTTTCCACGTGTGCCTCTATCATCGGCATGTTCTTCCAGGACGGGCGCCGCAAGGTTGGATATCCCGTTGTTGCGCCATCATGGTGCAAGGTTGATGGTCGATATCCCCTGTATGGGACTCTCGTTCTTGATTCCCCAATCAATGCTTGCACTTAAGAGATCCTAGCGGATATAGAACAGTTGTCGGGCCATCTACTGATTGGGTTTTC